ACTTCATCGACGCCTATCGAGCGTATTTTTTCTCAATCAGATTTTCTGATTAGACGCGAAAAAGCAGGTTTTACGAAAAGTAATCTATGTCAACTGATATTGCTAAAATGTAATAGAAGCTTCAAGATCATTATTAACTAGTAATATAAAATTAATATTTTCCATTAAAAATCCTATCTAAAAATTAACCAGTTAAATATTTCATTTTCTACGTTTAACCATTATACAAAAAGTAAAAACTAAAATTTACAATATAAACAAATATAAACCTAAATTATATATAAACATATCAAAAAATTAATATAAAATCTTATGACTTACAATCACACATTTCAAACTTTTATATTAATCCAAACATTACATTAATCTAAACACTTTTAAATGGAAATTAAACACAATTATGCTTTTAGATTAAACATAAATCTTACTTAATTCACTAGAAGCATGAAAAGATAAAGGAGTATTTAAGTTTCACTCTTGATCCCAATAACCCCTTAAATTCATTAATACAACACGCTTTTCAACAAAAGCCACCCAAATAATAAAAAGCATATATACCATAGAAAGAAAAGAAAGAAAAGCACCTAAAGAAGAAACAACATTTCAAAACAACATCCTATCAGCATAATCCCTATAACGACGAGGTATACCCACTAAACCCAAAAAATGTTGAGGAAAAAAAGTCAAATTAACAGCAAAAAACATAACAACAAACTGAACCAACAAATACTTAGAATTCATCACTAAACCAGTAAATAAAGGAAATCAATAAAAAAAACCAGCTAGAATACTAAAAACAGCACCTATTCTCAAAGCATAATGAAGACGAGCGACCACATAATAAGTATCATGTATAACAATATCCAAACTAGAATTAGACAAAACAATACCAGTCAAACCCCCTATAGTAAAAAGAAAAAGAAAACCCAAAACCCAAAGCAACAAGTAATCGAACTTATAAATACCACCAGCCAAAGACCAATTCAACTAAAAATTTTAATACCAGTTGGAACAGCAATAGCTATAGTAGCAGCAGTAAAATAAGCACGAGTATCAACATCCATACCAACAGTAAACATGTGATGAGCCCAAACAATAAAGCCAAGTAAACCAATAGAAATTATAGCATAAACCATACCTAAATATCCAAAAATTTCCCCCTTCAAAGAAATCCTAATAACAATCTGAGAAATTATTCCAAACCCAGGAACAATCAAAATATAAACTTCAGGATGACCAAAAAATCAAAACAAATGTTGAAATAAGATAGGATTACCTCCACCACTAGGATCAAAAAAACATGTTCCAAAATTACGATCAAACAACAACATGGTAACTCAATGGTCATGGTTGAAGAAAAGCATATTTTCCCAACTGTAGCTTAGAAGGAGGCAAAAAAGTTAGATTTTCGTCCACAGAACCACAGAAAAATCTTTCATTATTCCTGACCATGGAAATCTTTTTTCTTTGAAATTCATTAAGTTAAATCTTAACGGATGAATAGGTCCTGAATTTTTGCGGTCATTTCCTCTCGTTTTACTGTCAATTTGAGAAATACCTTGATAAAACTTGTTAACGTATTTAACTGTTTATAACGATATACGTTTCATAGAATATTTTTAGGAAATATGGGTGTCGGTTAAACTTCGCATTTTTTCTAAAGTTTCTACCTTCTAAACGTTCATCACATACGAAAATGAAATATGTTACAACTTTTGGATATCAATCGAAAGTGGATACAAGAGCTGAAAAAACAAGTGTCATTGCATGAACAATTCAACGGCTAATTAATTTTGATTATAGATCAGATGATTATCTATTTCAAAAGGTACCTTGGGGTAATTATGGTCAGATAATGCAGCTAATCTAATCATCATTTTGCTTCTATTTGGATATTTCGATTGGTCATACAGTCATTGTCAACAATAAAATAGAAATTAGAATGGTGTAGTGATGGGCCGTCGTATAGTCGTTAAACATGAGTATTAGAACTTTAGCGTGCAGCGTTTCTTTTTTTTCTCACATACGTCAACATGTATTTGACATCTGCATACGTATATGTGACATACAGAAAAAGAAAAAGAAACGCTGCACGCTAAAGTTCTATTGATTGATAGATAGTGAAAGAAAGAAAAGTTACGGTATCCCTATAGTCGTTTATGGCTTGTATGGCATTGTTTCGTACGGTAAGAAAAACATTTTTCTTACCGTCGCACGTTATGTTTTCTCTTTTCTTTACCTTTACCGTCATCCGTGCCCTTACTCTACATGTATAGGTCACAAGAGACAAAAAAACAGATACCAGAAAATTAACGCTTCTTGCGTCTTACGGCCCCTTACTAGAATGATGTACTACTATTTAAAGCAACCACAACTTTGACGCATATGTACAGAAAATAAAAGNAGATGCATAGATCTGTTGCTTTATCGATGATACATAGATCAAGCAGATAAAGAAGAAAAGATACATCATGTAGATACAGCATGTAGATATATTTTCACTTCTATTTGGAATGATGATTCATTGAAGACATGAAAGAAGAGAGGCATAAAGAAAACAAAGTTCTTTTCATTTTCTCGCATGGGCAGATATATCTTGCATGCAGAGTTCTGTATGTGTTACATGATGAATCCTTATACGCTAGAGCTCTATTATTTAAAAACAGTGATTTAAATGCGTGTATCACACATGTGTATGTACCATAATTCACTCAGTTCGTGAGGTACTTTCGATATTTACTTCGCTCTCTTTTTTGTCATCTAGAAATGTCAGCTTTAAATGAATCAAAAACGACCTCGACGTCGCTTAACTTGGTGGATAAACTAAGTGGCGCACTTTGGGGCTTTTTTATTGCTGATTCGCTATCAATGCCCTCCCATTGGTTTTATAATCCTGATAATATAATCAAAGTATTTGGTCCAAATGGAATTACTGGTTATATTGACTGTCCTCCCACTCATGCAGAAGCATTTATGGCTGGCAGTGGATATAATCCAGCAGAGGAGATATCCACTCCAAATTATCGTCCAGCTGATATCCTCCACCAACATTCAAAATATTACAAAATACATAATTCTGAATATGATGGTCGATCATTTAAAGAAAGCAACTTTGCCGGAAATCGTGACAGTCATGGTAATGCCTTAGTAGGAGCTAACGATAGTCGACCTCATTATCACGTCGGATTAAAAGCAGGTGAAAATACTTTACAAGGAGAAATCATTCGATTATTTCTAAAGACTTCCGTCGAAAATAATGGTTACAATCAAAACCAATGGTTAAAATCGTTTACTAGCTACATGTTATCTGCACGTGAAGATTGTGTTGATCCCTATATTGAAGTTGCAATTAGGAAATACTTCGAAAATTACAGTCGAGGTTTACCACTGTATTCATGTGCGGTCAGACAAAGAGACACATGGTCAACCGGAAACTGTTGTGCGATGGCTTCAACTATAATTACTTCTCTATTATATCCACATTTTCTTCAACGTGGTATTGCACGAGCTTTTGAACATCAGGCTCTATTATACCGTTCAGAACAGGCGATGGTTTATGGAACTGTTCTAATACCACTCATTCATCAATTTATTCATTCGGAATCAACTTCATCACAATATTATTTTGATTCTCTACTAACTGTGTGTGAATCTATCTATTCAGCAAAGATTAGTGGACCAGAATTATTTGCCAAATATCGTGAATATAAAGGACCAGGTAATATACCGAAAGATGAAACTTGGCAGTTACACAATCAATTGAGAGAAGAACCGATTCGACAAGAAACTGAAACTTTTTTAAATTCGAAAGATTCTATCAAAGATGTAGAAGTGCTACGTGGACGCTATGGCACAGCCTGTTATATCGAACAGGGTATTCCAGGAATTATTTATTTAGCATTGAAATATAATTTTAATTTAGAAGCAGCACTATTAGCTAATGCAAATGTTGGCGGTGATACGACTGGGAGAGGTGTAATTTTAGGCTTGATCATTGGGAGTGCGATTGGAAAATCAAATATTCCAGAACATCTGATTAAGGGACTAAAGAACAGTGAAAAGTTGAATCGTGAGATAAGTGAATTTGTGGAATTAGCAGTTAAAGGAGGGTTGAAGGACTGAATTATCTACATTGTTTGAACACGTTGTAATTTAGTTAAGTAGTAATATCGCACGTGCGCACGT